CTCTTGGGGCTCCTGGGTGGCGCAGGGGTTAAGTCCCAGCAGCACTACGAAGCTGTCCGCAGCCGCTGCAGCACAAGTTAGATCCCCGGCCAGGGAGTTGCCCACTTGGCCAGCAGACCTCTCCTGTCTCCCCGCTGCTCCCCTCAGCAGTGGATTTCAGTGGATCTGCCTGTTCTGCTCCCCACTCTGCCTCTGGGGAATCCTCTTACCCTCTCCCCCCGCACCTCTGTCCTGTACCCCAGCTCTTGTATGCATAAATCAAAAAAGAAAGAAATCTCAACAAAACATGGCTCTTGTCTTGCAGCTGCCTACAGAGAAGTGGCTGTGAAGTAGCTACACTCAGGAGCCCGTGTTCGCAGGGAGATCCGTGCCAGCCTACGTGGTCTAGGGCAGCTTCCTGCTCAGGGAGAGGCTGACTTCACCCCAGATCCCAACAACAAAGACGGGAAACTCGCTAAACATTTTCTCTGAGAGTCAGACAAGCAGAGGAGGTATTCCAGATAAACTTAGTTACGCCGCCCATATAATTTCCACACTAAAGGTAGAAATTATCGGGGCAAAGCAATCCAACGAGGAGGGGCTTCGTGACACAGGGAAATAGAAGCAGAAAATGCTGCAGCCAGGCACTAGCTTTATTTACGCTAGAGAGTAAGATTTAAAAAGGGTGAGATTTGGGGCCTCCCTCGTGGCACAAGGGGTTAAGCACTGCACTATGAAGCAGTCTGCAGCCTCTGCAGCACGAGTTCGATCCCTGGCTGGCCAGGGAGCAACCCACATGGTGCAGGAGACCCCTCCTGTCTCCCTGCTGCTCCCCTCAGCAGTGTATTTCAGTAGATCTGCCTGTTCTGCTCCCCACTCTGTCTCTGGTGAGTCCTCTCACCCCCCACATCTCTGGCTTGTACCCCAGCTCTTGTGTGAATAAATAAATAAATCTTTTTAAAAAATAAAAATTGTGAGATTTAAAGGGCTGAAGCCACTTGGTTTTGTCGAAAGGGACACTGGCTTGCGGCGTGTGGTGGGGAATCTGGCTCTAATGGACAGGAGTGTATCTGGAAAACCAGTGGGCATGTGCTCGGGGTGCAGGGGGAGTTTCTCTTTTAAACACGCTATACTTGGAGTCCACCTGGCGGGAGCCATGGCCCACGGACCCACAGGGGCCCACCGTGAGGAGCCCTGGGATTTGGTCTCACTCGGCTAGTACCTTTCAAAAGAGAACGAACACCCAAGCTAGACTTTGGACTCTATTCCTCTATCTCCCTGGACAGACTCCACTTCTTCCCTTTCACGTCATCAGCAGAAGGTTACCGAAACCAGCATAAGCTCAGCCGATATGGAAGGAATTTGTAAGAGGGACGACAGTCAAATACTGACCATCCTCTGCTCTCTGACCAGCGCGGTCGGGGTAAAACTCCTCATTGAGGGAAGCGTCCAGTGCTGTCAGCCAACAAATGTCTATCAGAGACCATCCCCCTGGTTTAAGGGCTGACTTCCTGCCAGTTCTTGGGCTTCTTAAGGAAAGAAATAGTTTCCCATATGCTGTTATAGCCACAGTTACAGTCCCTGCATGCGACCCTTACTGTCACTCGTTGAGCGAAGGAGTGAATGAATGGGTGAGTGGGTGAGGACCTTGACAGGAGTGAAGGCATCGTGACAGCTGACAGGCAGGAGTTTGGGCCAGAGGAAGCCGCAGAGCCGGCCAGGTTGGCATGACCAAGTGAAGACAAAAATGAAGACAGGTGGAAAGTCTAGGGCATCTCGGAGAACAGAGGAAGACATTTTAGAGAGACTATTCCACGATAATGTTCATCAAAAATTGCTCTTATTTAAGAGATTTGCTCTTTTTCAGTGAGAAGAAAATGAACACCAGCCAGTTATAGGATCTCCCTTCAAAGGCATCAGACCTTTGCAAACTGTAGCTACACTGTATCCAGTTCATCTCCACTTGGGCTGGAGCACCTGGCACATAATAGCTGCACAATAAACACTGCCTCAAGAAGGGAGCAGCTTCCTCTTCCCCAGGGGTCCCTTGGCAGCGACCCTGGCTGGGCCACCCATGGAGGCCAGTTTCAGAATTCCAAAATGTACCTTCCTCATGGATTCTGTCTTGGCAAAGATGACTGAGTCAGGGTCGCCCAGCGACCTGGGTGTGAAGTTAGGTGGAGTTAGGTGATCACCACATTAGGTGAAATCACACAGGTTTCCCTGCACCTGTGGGTGCCAAAGCCTGCAGAGCTGCGCACGCATCTCCCCTTCCATCAGCTCCTTTTCAGAAAGGACCAGAATTGCACAGAACGTGCTGAGTTGGCCAAACACTTTCTGCTCCCACGATTTAAAGCAAAGGCAATGGTAGGGATTTCAAATGACATGGGTGCCAGTGGGATTCCCTCTCCCCGACTTTCTGACTCCCCAACTATTTGAGCTTCAGTTAATAAAGTAATTGGTTTGGGAAGGATCCTGCTTCCTATTCACGCCATTTTTCTTGTTCTGCTTTAAACAAAACTCCACCCCTGAATGTCTTACTTATTAGTTCTTTCACCCGCTCGGGGTACACCGGACCCATCTCCGCATTTAAGCATGGACTTCGTCAGGCGTGGGACAAGAACGCGGGACCATGACCCATAATTAATGCCCTGTCCTGCTGCCCGGGACACTTCACCTCCCTGCCCTTGAACACTGCCTCCTCTCCTTCAACCTTCAGCACATCACCCTCAATTCTTCTTAGACTAAGTAAACCCCTCCTCCCTGCCAGCTGCGTGTGCTCATCTGTACATGCTGGCACTCCGAATGGTGGGGTTCAGACTTGAACCCCAAGTCTGAACACACTGCAACATCCACTTTCTCCCCAAATTTCCCAGCACTGGGTTCGAGACTTGTGGACAGTGAAACCCCCACACCCAGGGGCCCCACTCACTCCCACTCTGGCATCACCTCCGTTCAGTCTTCCAAGGGCCCTGAGTTTTCTCTGCGTCATAGTTCATGGGCCTTTCCAGGTCAAGGCTGCTACCTGCATTTTTACTTCTACTTGGGGTATGAACACAGGATAGTATTTGGGGGGTGAGAGGGTGGGGGCTATGTTTCTAAATAGTTCTTGGTGCTTTGCTCTTGAACCCCATCCCAAGGTCTGTTGTTGTGAAATTCCTATCACAGACCTTGGCCTGCACGCTGACCGTGTGCCGGGCAAGATCACGTGGTACGTGAGCCTCTGGAAGAGCATCTCCAGGCTAGGAGAGGACTAACTTGGGGGACCGCTGTCCATCCACCTGCCTCCATCCAGCTGTCCCCGTGTGTGACGAGGTTTGCAGGAGTCAGAGCCTGCGAAGGCACTGCCCACGGGCCCTACCTATCAATCCTGCTCTCAGCTCCGCGAGTTTCCGGTCAGTCTGGCCATGCGGCCTGGCCCCACTTGCAGGTGAGCTCTGCCGTGCATCGAGTAAGTTTTGTAAGTCACAGACAACAGCGTGTCGAGATAAGGATCTGCACAAACAGCACCTCATTAAAACCACCCCTTCCTGCTCCCAGGGCGGGTGCGTTGCTCTGGCTCCTCAGTGATGCTTTCGGCGCCTTCACAGATCTGTATCCAGAATGGCAGAGAATTTCGAGAACCGGGGACGGGATGACCTATTTCCTACAGTGGCTGGGTGACCTGCCCGTCAGGAGAATGGAGGCCTAGATGGGACGTGCTGAATAGCAGCCTCTGTTCACGCAGGCCCGTCCCCAGGCCCGTGTGGACCGGCGTGCAAACAGCTGTGCGACCTGCTCCTGACCGTCTTCGCTCGGCTTATGACGAGGCAGGCGACCTCTTCTCTCATCTCTTGGTTATTTTTCTCCCGAAAACCAGTTCTTTTGCCTCCCCATATAAAATAACAAGAGTCCATAGTTTCCACTCAGGACTCTCGGATTGCTTGTTCTCCCTTTGCCTCCCAAACACACGCCCATTTCCTCTCTTCCACACTCACTCACACACACACGTTCTCGCAAAGCTTTATGTCCAGCCGAGGACGCCTGACCAGCAATCTCACAGGGCCTCGCCCTCCCCCGGTTTCAGGAGCGAGCAGGTCTGTGGACTCTGCAGCCAGCGAGGCCGTGGCCAGGGTGGTGCGGGCCTGAGCGCGCATCCCGCAGACGCAGCCTCGCGCCCGCCCGGCCTCTCCGCACTCAGACTTGTTGAGCGCAGCCTCTGGGCTCAGTGAGCTCAGGCGAGAGCAGAGACCCAGCGTTTAAATACTAGACTTTCTGGCACCCCTAGGCAGACCCAGCCCGGGGCGCGCAGCGCAGGCCCGCTCCACGCCAGCCCCGGCCGCCCATGCCGCACAGCGAGGCCCGGCCCGCGCACGGGGTGCTCCATCGGGGCTTAACATCGAGTCCCGAGAAGGGTTCAGGTTTCCCAAAAAGACCAGAAGGGCGGACTTCCACGGGCACCAGGGCGTTCATTCCCTTCCAACTCCAAGATGTGATGGAGGAATCCATCTGGCCGACAGTCAGTAAATACAGAGGTGATCCCCTCCCCAGTTTCCCTGACAACCCCCCTCCCCCAGGCCTGGCGATCGGGAAAAACCAACGCGCCCAGGAGGGGTAGCCGCGCAGCCACGCGCCGGGAGGAGATACAAAGACATCCCTGCACGGCAGCGCGCGCGCTGTAGTATTTTTGTGGTTGCCATAGAAACGCCGGAGCCTGCCGAGCCTGCCGCCTGACACAAAAGAGACCCCGCGGCAACAGGAACCTGCGCCCCGGCTTCGTCGGGGCAGAGAAACACGCCGGCAGCGGGGCGGGGAGCCCGGCCCGAGGCCCCGCACGGGGACGCGCCCCCGAGCGCAGAGGGGCCCGGGGCTCCCCCAGCTGCCCCTCGAAGGCGGCCGGCGCCCTCCTCCGCCTGCGCGCCCCTGCTTCTCACCTGCCCTTCCAGAGGCTTCCAGCCCCGAGAAAGTAGGGCGTCCGGGGGGACCCCACACCCGCCACGCCCAGAGGCCGGGCGGCCTGGAAGCGGGGGGCCGCCACCTACCTGCTTTCCGGCCGCCGGGGCGCGGGCATGTGCGCCCAGAAACTGAAAGGGAGCGGGCGGGCGCGCGATCGCCACTAGTTTCTGGGAGCCGCGAGTCAGCCAACACTGGAGAGAAAAAGCCAGACTCCACCCATGGGGTGGACCCTTCGGGAAAAAAAAAAGTGGTCCTCAGCTGACGTCTCTCCCCACCCCATGTCACTTCCTTTTAAAGCTGCAATTTAGCAGCCGCGGGAGGGGAGATGCGCGCGCGCCCGGGTGAAACCCGAGTCACCCCTCGGCGGCCAGTTAGTGGGAGGCGCAGCTCGGGGCTCCCCGCTCGAGAGCCCCGGCCCAGAACCTGCCAGAAGCAGGAACAAAAGCCCGCCCGGCCTGCTCGCTCCGGCCGCCCCTCCCGCGTCCTGTTGCATCCCTGGCCACGTGGCCTCTCCGGCCTCTCCGCGCGCCAAGGCCGCGCCCGCCCGGGGACCCGCCGCGCCGCGCTGCCCGGCCGCCTGCGCCCCGAGCCCCCGGCTTGCCTGGGGAGGAGCCACGATCGCCTCCTTCCCCGCCGGCCCCCACGGCGCCCGGGGGTCGCGGGGCTGGGAGGAGATGGCCTCTCGCTGGCTGGCAGGAGCCCTCAAGCGCCTTTGACACAATATTTTCGAAAACTCCAAGATCTGAGATGTTCAGCTTCGGGATGAAGGAAGCCCGGAGAGTGAGGCACCTTCTCCCTGCCCACCAGGAGCCGGGGCTCAGCACCGCGTGTGCGCACACGCGAGTGCACAGAGGCACAGGCACACACGCGGGATGCGCGCTCGCCCTTGCTCGTGCACCACGCGCAGTGCGCGCTGAGGGTCTGGGCAGAACTTCCTAATAAAAGGGCATCACCTTCCAGGGCGGCAGCTGCAGAGACGCCAGAAGCGCCAGGGCCTGACATTCCTAAAGTGTTGTGCTCCCCAAAGAGTTAAGGTGGGAGCCCTTCAAAGGGCCCCTGCAGAGCCACTGTCACAAATCACACTTGAGTGTTTACAGGTGACTGGGGCGTTCACCCCTGTTCTGCAGATTTTATAGTCTGCAGGCAAAAAATAAGATGTTCACAAATAGCTTGAACACATCGCAGAATTAGTAAGAGCAACAGAAGTGCTAAAAACAGTGTGCCCTGAGAACCGGAGGGCGGAAAGCAGTCTTTTTTGGTTATGCTGAATGAAAAAAAGCTTTTTCATAACCAGGATGCAGGGTTTGCACTGGGTCCTGCCAGCTGTGTGGCTTTTCACAGTCCCTACTCAGAGGACAGAGGGGAGCCCCACGGGGTGCTGAGGAAGGACATCTGGCACATAGCAAAGGGATCTGGGCAGAAGACCTGTTTGTGGCAATGACTTATTTCACTATCCATGACTAAACAAACCTGGCCACATAGGAATGTTCAGGAAAGATATTTATAAGGGGTGTCTTGCAGCCGATACAATTTTTTAGGGTTCATCCTCAAACCTTTTCAAATTGTTTTAAACTCTATTTGTTTCTAGTTTTTGAAACTTGCCCAAGTTTTCCAAGTACTTGAGTGGAGTTAACTTGCACTTGGTATTTGATTTTTGAATGGGAATTTTTTCCAAATATATAAGTTGCATCAATTTGTGGTGTATTTATTGCAATACAGTCAGTGATTTCAATGGAAACAATACGTAATTAATAATATTTTTGACAATTGCAACTCCTATTCGAATCTCAGTGCTTTTAATGTCTTTATTCCCTTATGATTATGATAGTCACTATGCTTATTAATGCTACAGTGACACTCTGTCTATTTAGGTGATGTTTACAATCTCAATGATAGTCCTAGCTAAAAAATATGGGAGAAAAAGTGACTACTTCTGAAAATGGAAAGTGGAAATAATAGCATATTCATGGATTAAATCCTGTGCTCTTATCAGAATCCGATTTAGAATCTCTCCTTATTTTAGATATCCTTATTTTAGATATCCTTATCTAGCTATTTCTAGCTGCACAAAGAATTGTGAAAAGTTCCAGGTCATAGCCTAATAATTCGGTTCAATAAATACTTGTGGAGCAGCCACGGCAGTTGCTAAGGATACAAAATTGTGAATAAGACAGACGTCACCAACGTGCTCCCGGTCTTCAGAGAGAAAAAGGGACATAATTCAGATGTAACAAGGCAGTAACTGAAGTCTGGGCAGCAAGGAAAAGGGAGGACTCAGAGTGTCTGGGGAGTTTCTCAACTGTCAGCAGACTGTAGGAGGGCAGCAGGGAAGACACTGCTCAGCCATGACGCTGCAGGAAGTAGATGCTGGTGGCTGGGAGACTTAAAAGGAGGTTAGAGGCATAAACTGGTAACTCAAAAAAAAAAAAAGGATGCACAAATAGTCCATAGTAACTGCAGAGACGCCACCTCGAATAAACACCGACATGGAACGGAAGGGCTTCCTTTCCCTGCTGCTGCTTGTCAGACGTTCACCATACTGTGGAGGGTGTGCAGGGTCTGCTGTGCAATGGCAGACTCCTCTCCTGCACAGGAAATTGCCACAGTCTTTGTGGAATGTATTTGAATAAGACATATCTTGAGTTTTTTAAATAGTTACTCTTTGTCCAACAATTTAACTCACAAGAATTCACTCCAAGGTCTTCGGCAGAGAGAACCGCCAACTTGTATATTTATCACAGTCATTTATAATAGTGAAGCCTGGAACCATCTAAATGCCCCAAGTAGCAGGTGGGTGATGTGAGCGATGTGATATTTATATGGTGGAATGTTCTACAAAAATGTAAAATGCCTTTTGAAAGACATAGGGAAACTTTCAGTATATATTAAGTGAAAAGGTAATTAAGCTATAGAAAATATGGGCCCTTTGCAATAATTATACAGATGTTATATTGGGAACTCCCTGGTAGTGCAGGGGTTAAAGACCCAGCGCTAACAAGCTATTGGCAGCTACTACAATATGAGCTGGATCCCTGGCCAGGGAGCTGACCCACAGGGCACAGCAGACCTCTCCTGTCTCCCCCCTGCAACTCTCAGCAGTGGATTTTAGTGGATCTTCCTGTTCTGCTCCCCACTCTATCTCTGGTGAATCCTCTCACCCTCCTGCACCTCTGGCCTGTACCCCAGTTCTTGTATGCATAAATAAATCTTAAAAACAAACAGAGGTTATACTGTACATGTAGAGGATTGAAGAGTATCCCCCAAAATTCAGGTCCCCCAGAGCCTCAGAATGTAACCTTATTTGCTAACAGGGTCTTTGCAGACATGTTTAGTTCAGATGAGGTCAGGATTAGGATGGGTTAGGGTGGGGCCTAACTCCAACCCCTGCTGTTCTTATAAGAACAGGAGCAGAGGCCTCCCTGGTGGCGCAAGGGTTAAGACGCAACCTATGAAGCAATCCACAGGAGTTCGATTCTCGACCAGCCAGGGAGCAACCCACGTGGCGCAGCAGACCTCTCCTGATTCGCCCCGGCTCCCCTCAGCAGTGTACTCTGGTCAGTCTGCCTGTTCTGCTCCCCACTCTGTCTCTGGTGAATCCTCTCATCCCCCACACCTCTGACCTGTACCCCAGTTCTTGTATGCATAAATAAATAAATCTTTAAATAAAATAAACAGCAACAAGTGAATTAAAAAAAATAAAAAAGAACAGGAGCAGACACAGAGAAGCCCACACTAAGAACAAGGCCTGGGAATGACAGAGGTGGCGCTTGGATGGAGGATGCATCCACCAGGCAAGGAGCTGGCACCCCCCACCCCAGAAGCTGGGAGCAGGCTCCCTCCAAGCCTGCAGCAGGAACCCCCCTCACTGACACCTTAATTCTGGCCTTCTGTGAAAGAATGCATTTCCATATTCTTTAAGCCACTCAGTTTGCAGTCATTTGTTAGCAGAAACTCTTATTTCTTGCAAAAAGTTTGCTAAACTTAAAAAAAAAATTATTTAGAACTGTTAACTATGATTATTCGTGGACTATGAGCTTGAGCACGATTTGTATTTGTTTATCTTTTGTTGCTTTTTGAAAAATTTCCCATAAAAGCATTCATGGCTTTTATCAAAGAAGACAATTATGATGAAGAGAACAAAGGATTCAAGGTCTCTGAGACGTCGCCCGGCGGGCGGTGAGGACAGAAGAGCAGCAGCCGGCGGTGACATCGCCCGCCCCGGGACCCAGGACCTTCTGATACAGCCGGGACGCCATGTAGCTCAGAAAGCCTTTCTTAGCCTCCATTTTGGCACCTGAAATAATGCATATTATTTATCTAAAATGTGACCATAGATTCCATATTTTCAACCCCAAGGCTAGATCATTGTTATGAACCGTGTCCTGACCAGCTTTCTCCCAACTCACTCTTAGCTACGCTTTGGCAGAATTTGCCTTCATTTCCATTTGCCTGATGCTGTGAACATGGCTCTAGATGTTCGTGTAAATAAATAGACGCAGTTTGAAAACCAAGTTAATTGTGGCTGCTTTGAGGAGAAGTATAAGTAATAAAGTCCACTTGGCATTTGGAGTGTATGATCATGTATTTGACAGTTAAATATTTTTTAAAGATTTATTTATTTATGCATACAAGAACTGGGGTACAGGCCAGAGGTGGGGGGTGGTGAGAGGATTCACAAGAGACAGATTGGGGAGCAAAATAGGTGGACTGACTGAAACACACTGCTGAGGGGAGCAGCGGGGGGACAGGAGAGGTCTGCTGCGCCCTGTGGGTCAGCTCCCTGGCTGTGGATTGAAGTCGTGCTGCAGTGGCTGTGGATAGCTTCACAGTGCTGAGATTTAACCCCTTGCACCACCAGGGAGACCCAACAGTTAAATATTTTAATCAACTCTCATTGGGCCTTAAAATGTGTCATCAATATGTTTTTAATGATCAACAAGCTCTTAAGACTATACTGCTCTGGGGGTCTCGCCTTCTGCTCCCCTCAGCAGTGTATTTCGTCAGTCTGCCTGTTCTGCTCCCCGCTCTGTCTCTGGTGAATCCTCTCACCCTCCCGTGCCTCTGGCCTGTACCCCAGTTCTTGTATAAAAATAAATCTTTTTTAAAAAAAGAGACCATACTGCCCTGATCATAGTCCCTGTATGTCCAGGAGGGTGGCTTGAAGCTCCAGCATCCACCTCAGTCAACAGTCTGTGCCCCCGGTCACCCCGGATGTTAGTACCTAGGCAGCCCGTGGGGCTGGCCAGCTCTCAAGGTATCTGACCTAAGAATTGTGTTTTAAACTTCCTAAAAATTGCTCTCAGGGTCCACATAGCCCCGTTCTCTTGCAGGAGTCGTTGAGTCAAAGCAGCCTGGCGGGT